CTGCTACTACTACCACTATTACTACCATACTGCTACCATTCGACTACTACTGCTGCTGCACTGCTACTGCTGCTGCTACTACTACCACTCTTATTCTTACCACTACTACCACTATTATTATTATTATTACTACTACTACCACTACTACTCCTACTGCTACTGCAACTGCTACTGCTACTGCTACTGCTACTACTACTACTACTACTGCTGCTACTACTACTACTACTACTACTACTACTACTACTACTACTACTTACTTCCTACTACCACTACTACTACTACTACTACTACTACTACTACTACTATTACGACGACGACTACTACCACTACTATTTCTTCTACTAATTACTACTACTGCAACCGCCGGCTGTCTGCTATCGCTCCTCGACGAGAAAGGCTGGGCTCGTTCTTCCATTCGAAGCATGGCAGTTCCGCTATGGGAGAAGTCGAACACATGCGCAGGTAAGGGGCTAAAGATGGCTGATATCTCTTGAGAAACTCACAAAACACAGACTTGCGGGCTATGTAACCTATGTAAGTTGTATTGGAACCTTTTGTGAACTCCTGCCCGTCAGAGTTGGCGGAAGCAATGTCAAAGCTGCACTCAGACGCAGCGTTTGCGGACTTCTTGGGACCCGAGTTGGTCGCAGGCCTTCGTACGGTGGAGATCTTTGCCCCGAATGCAATTCAGGCAAACGCCATACCACTGGCGCTAAGTGGCCGAGATCTCATCGTGTGTGCACAGACTGGGTCTGGCAAGACTCTCACCTTTCTTTTGCCAATTCTGCATCAGTTGACAACTGGGAGAAACTCGCAGCGTGGAGACCTCGACAGTTTAGCATGTGCTTCCTTTCTAAGCAGCTCTAGGATTTAGGAATTCGCTTGCAGAGACATAGGCGCCCCAAAAGCCCGTCGTTGGAGCTCGATGCTGAAGCCGAGGAAATCATGCCTTGATTGTAGCTCCCACCGAGCAGCTCTCCCTGCAAGTGGTGGCACTGGCCTCAAAACTGGTGGCATCTCTCCGCTCTTCACTTGAACTCAGATGCATGGATCACACCATGCAGACTCGAAGCTCAGCCTCTGCCCCGCAGCTCTGGGTTGGAACCCCGAAGTGGCTCAGTGAGAACATCAGCTTCGATCCCAAGAACGTGGCAATGCTCGCCATCGACGAAGCCGACCTCCTGCTCTGCGCGCCCTCGGCGACTGCAAGCGGTGAAGATCTTCTTCGCGAGCAGCGGGAGAAGACGGAAGAGCCTTAGTAGCAGAGTAACTTATCCCTCGACCTTTGGGGCTATAAAAAAGGAACCGTATAAACCCCAAAGGCTGACCCTTAAAACTTAACCCTAAGTTCCCCCCTGGGAGAGTGGAGAAACAAGGAGCTTTTTGCGGCAGCAGAAGGGGCTCAGCTTTTCCTCGCCATGGCTCACTTGAGCAACGAGCGGGAAGAGGAGCTCCAAAAACGCTTCCCGGAAGCTCAAATGGTGGGCCACACTGGCGTCATGGTGCCCACCTTGAGGCAGTGTTTCCACTACTTCAAAGGTGACAAAGATGCCAAGCTCTTCTGGCTGCTTTCCGAGGCAGAAAAGGAGGATACCGAGCCTTTAGCGGGTTCCACCATGATCTTCTGCTCTTTGCCTAGCACGGCTGACCGGCTCCAAGGGGCTCTTGCTGAGAGAAAGCCGAGCAGTCGGCCCCTTGCGCTCCACGAAAATACGCCCGCGCAAGACAAGGCCACAATTGCAAGCGAGTTTAGGCAGGGTGGCTGTGAAATACTGCTGACTACGGACATGGCCGCCAGAGGCCTAGATTTTCCGAGAGTACGCCATGTCGTGCTCTTCGATGCGCCTGTTGATGCCACAGCTTTTGTGCACAGTGCTGGCCGCACGGCCAGGCGGGGTAGCACCGGACTTGTCACATGCATCATTGAAGGTGGTGATGCAGCTCGTGAGCACATCGATGGCAAGATTTTTCATGCCTTGCGGGACGGCCCGCAATTGACCTTCGCCAAAAACGGAGGTCAAGCGACTGTGGACCCCCCTCAACCAGGCCATCCCGGCCAAAAGGAGCCTAAGGGCCGCCGCCAACGCGGTTACGCTAAATCCGCGCATCAATGGCAACCGAAAAGAAGTGCACCCATAGATATGATTGAAATCTAGTCAAATTCTTCAAGAAAGATATCTAATATTTCTATTCGATGCTGATTTTTATAGAGAAGATATGCCAATATTGGGCATAAGATCATAATATTGAAACCAATATAAAGATTTTATGATATTTCAATAATAAATTTCATATTGAGATCAAATATTTATAAGAAGAGCTCCATAAAGAGAATAATTCAAATATAACTAATTGAAAGAATATATAAGAAAATATTTCTGAATTAAATATCGAATATAATCATATTGATTATATATAATTGGACCGAATATATATATATATATATTTATTTATTTATTAGTTTTTATATATAGATTATTTTTATTAATTCGTTTTTATATACCGATAGGCAGATTAGAGATTTTTTAAAATTCTCGAATAGATGCAAGCTATTCTACTTAGAATTATATATATTTATCTTCATATTTTATGATATTGAATATCTATCGTGGTATTGAAAATTTAATGGAATTTCTTTGCCTTATTCTTATAATTAATAGATCTATTCAAATATTTATAAAATTATTCTGATATCGATATTCTCTTCAGAAATATTTTATAATAAATTATATTAAAAATTTTTGTATTTCTTGGAAAAAGAATATATTTCTATATGTGATCTAATTCTTCTCTGATCTTTCTTTTCGATTTAATATCTTTTTAATTTTTCGTTATCGATTTTTCCATTTATAGAAAATTATTTAAAGAAAAAATAGCCCATACATTAGAGAGATTTTCAACATTTACGATCCAAAAATTCAAAATAAATCTCGATTCTATAGATCTATATCTATGAATAATAGCAAAGATAAGTTCTCTTCTTATTAGATAATGGAGAAGCTCCATACATATAATTCAAATCTTCTTTCAGAATTGATAATCTGGTCGATATTTTTCAAATTATGAATGCTAATAATTCTATATCTTCTATGAAATTAGCATAATATATTTGAATATTGTTGAAAAATATAGAGATCGATCGAATCAAATATATCTATAATTATATATTTTCTTGATAATCGAATATCTTCTTTCGATATTTTTTCTAATATTGAAAAATTGATATCTTTCATATCTATATATTAATATTAGGGATAGAAAAGATATATTCGATATGGTTAGGCTATTTCATAAATATGGAAAATTGAAGTTTATAATTGATTAATTGAATCATAAAAAAATAGAATTATTATGAAACTCTGATAATAATGATATTTTCAAATAATTTTATTACTAAGAGATTATAGATCGATATATATTTATCTTAAAAATTATGCAAAATATTTTGAAATATCGATAAATATTCAAATATTACTCTTTATGAGAAAATTCTTCTATCGAAATTCTTCATATTCAAATTGAATTCAAATTATAATATATAAATGATTCGATATTGAAAATATATGAGAAATATTTCTGGATATCCGTCAAAATTTGGAAAATTATAGATAAGAATAGGAGGGAAAATTATAGATAAGAATAGGATGTTCATAAAATTTCGGATCTTATTAATTACTTTTCAAAGTGATAAGAATCTCGTTGAAAACGATATAATCAAAATCAATTCATTTGTTGTAATATTTTCATAATGCTGGCATAATATAGATATATTATTTTCTCTATATGATATGAAGCTAGGCAATCGATGCCTTAATCGATTCCTATTAATTCATTTCATAATTTATGATCCATTCTGATAGATAAAAGGTAGTATTCAGAAAATATAAAGCAATGAAAAGCGATAAAATTAGTAAAAAATAAATAAGAGGGTATAAAGGGTAATAGAAGATAGGAGAAGGTAGTTCAAGATTAGAAGGAAACGAAGGATAGGAAAAGATAAGAAAAAATCATATCAAGTAGCCAGGGGTAATAAAAAATATCAAAATAAAAAATAATATAAATTATAGATAAATTAGAATAGAAGGCAATAAAAATAATAAAAGATAAGGCAATCTATGAATCATATCAATAAATCTAATAATATTGTTATTTTTAAAAGGATTCAATAATATTTTATAGATATAATCAAAATCTTATAAATAGATAAGATCGTCTCCAAATCATTTATAATTTAATCATAAATAAGGAATTATTATAAATAATCTCGAATAGATTCGTTCTGAAATATTTAATATACTGATTTATATTCCTCTATTTTATAGATTCAATATAGAAAATTTAATTTCATTTGTTTCTATTCATTATTTCAAGAAATATATACGAATCTAATTTATATTCTTAATCAGAGAATATAATTTATTTCTTAATTATAAATAAATATTTAATATATATCAAATAATAAATCTTTTCAAATTCCACTCTATTATGATATTTTATATTTTGAAATATAAATATATTTAACATACAGAATTTTTATATAGAAGAAATATGAATTATATCGATTAAAATCTATATCAAATCAATTTATTCATTATTTCTTTTTGCAATATCATATTCAATATTCAATATATTATTCTTTCCATAAAATAAAATATTGCTACTCACTCTTTTTCGTAGGCTGCCCTCCGGATTAGCATTTCCTATATATTTATAGACAATATACGAGCCTGGGACCATTTTGCGAATCTACGTCCCAATACTATAAATTTCTCGAAAATTTACAGCCCTGGGAGTTATATTACGAGGTAACGTGCCTATAAACTTTCGAAAAATTAGAATATCGGATTAATCCTCCCATTCGATTTCAATTTTGAAGAAATAATCGATATCTAATCTATAAATTTCTTGAAAATTCATATAAGATAATTTTTTACGAAATTTAAAGAATCATTAACTAATTAGTTATAATTAAATCTGAATTTGATATAATATAAGATCTTATATTTTTGATTTGTAATATAAACCATTCCTTCTTGAGCTTCACGTCGCTTCATAAGATCAATAATATCGATATTATATTTAAAACCACAGAGTCCAATGAAAATTATAAGAAATTTTGCAATCGTCTATTAGCATCAAAGTCCGAAAATCATATAATAAAAATCCCCGTAAAGAATTATTAATTATTGAAACCAGATCTTGATTCCTTGCCCAATATTTAGAAAATACAAAATTATCAAAATAATAATTGCCTATTGCTCATATTCCAAGCTCGGAATCAGCGTCGCCAGATAAGATTGCATAGGATCTGGGCGGGCATCTTCCTAGCGCCTCTTCAAGTTAGCTGATGATTTAAATATTTATCTATTATGCTGGGACGACGTTATTTGGCAAATCCCAGTGAGTCTCTGAGGCTCCGTCCCGGCTATCAGTAGTGGAGCTAATAGAAAATAGAAATTTTCTATTCTTTAAATTAATATCAATATTATATTCCTTCTGATTGGAAAAACCTTATAATGAGATATAAATATATAATAAGATATGCATATTAGACGAATTCTGCGCAAGGAATTAGATATCATTTGTCGAATATTGGAAATTCATAATATATATGAAAAAGGAAATAATAAGAAATATGGTGGAGAAAATGGGGCTACAAGGGAATGAATCAGATATAGTAATAATATAATTCTGAATAAAATAATACAGAGTCTAAATTCTTCTAAAAGGAGGATTCAGCTTGAAGAGTCCGGAATTTAATATATTATTTGAAATATTTTAAATTATAGGGGTTGGTCGTAGTATTGCCGTGGGCCCCAGTCGGGAGAGCCCATCACTTTTAGCCCAGGCGTTTGGTTCTAATTCTGAAGTTAGACGGCACGCGCTACATGTCATTGAGTTGCAGCACGCCAGTCAGCGATGTGTTATTAAAGCAACTATATCTGCGCTGCAGGGTCATGCACTCAAATAAATCGATTTCAGATATAGATAAATATTAACAATAAGATATTTAGGATGAATAATCTTATTCTTTTATCTATTTTATTTGGTATTATCAGAAAATAAAAGATTCGATTTTTCAATATTATATTCGATTAATGAATATATATATATATATATATTATCTTATAATTTCCATAATCAATCGATTAATCAATAATTCTAGATAAGATTTAATAAATTTATAAGAAAAGAGAAATTATTTATTTTCATCCAATAAAATATTAAATAAAGAGATATATATATATTTAAGATGCCTATATATTCTCGATCCAGAATCTTAATCTTTAAATTCGAATTCTGGGTGGGGTACAGAAGTGAAATAAATTCGGAAATCGATAGTTCAATATAATTCGAAGAAATGAATCTGAATTCTCAAATTCAATTAAACGAGATATTATTCGAGATTAATTTTCTTGTTCAAAATTTTTTCTTAGAAAAGAAAAATTCAAATGCAAATTAAACTTATTTTAAAATCTAAATATATTATTCTAATATTATGATATTTTTTAGAATGAATATTCAATTTATATTAAATTCTCAAATATATATAATATTTCAAATCTATAAATCTATATATATATATAATTTTTTTCTATATCTAATATTTAAGTTTCGAAAGAAGCTATATTTAATATCTAAACTATAATCTATATAAAATCATATTTTATATTGAATTCAATAGAATCTTCCGAATTTTTATTACTAAATTAAAAATATAATGACTCATATATATATCATAGATATTTTAATATAAAATCATCTATCAAAAATATTAAGAAATCATTATTTAATG